ATAGAGACGCGCACCACGATCTTCATGTCAACGCGGGGAGGCGGATAGAACCACGACGACAGACCGCGTGAGTTACCAGTCCACATATAGAGAGTAAGCAACTTGATGGCGGCGCGCGCCTTTTAGCCAGATAGAGCTGGTACCCATAGCGAAGCGTAAGAACGTTTAGTCAAAGGACAGTGATTTGAATGGAATTCGGGGATTCGGGAGGGAAGCGGTGTTCCGCACACACAAAGAACCAGCAGACGAATAGTAGTACCTGTATAAGACAGAACCAGTAGCCGATGTTCTTGGTCAACGACGAGCAGCGACGAGCCAAGGTATGCGTCGATCAGTGCTAGACGACGAGGAACGCATGTCAGGCGACTCAGGGGGCCCCTTCAAAACCAGGCGGAGCCAGTAACGGAGACTCCTTAGGCCAAGCTCTTAGCTTAGGCTGAAGCTGATGATTGGATGGTCGCATGCCAACGACGGGGACAGAATTTCAAGCAAATCAGGGTATCTCCAGACTAGGATTCACAATCGGACGGCGAGTGTCGAGCAAGCAAAGTGTGCACGATGCAACGTGTCATAGCAAGGACAATGAAGAGTTAGGAAGGTGGCTGTGCATAGGTGTAGACCTACACCTTTTACTAAGCAACTTAGCAATTGACACCGAAAAAATACCTGCGCTCAGAATTTCGCATCGTACGGAGCAGGTAAATAGAGTTACATTCATATGTAGAGAAAAGAAGACGGCATATTTCGAGTCACTAAGTAAATAAGAGAGTGAAGAGCACCATGCCCACGACATAAATCGTGCTTCGGTCAGACCCGTATACGTATACTATATAGCCGGCCAGAGTAGGATGCATCATGATGAGTAGGACGAGGGGATGGGATGAGGGGTGGGAGGTGGAGTGTAGTGCATAAAAAGGGCGGAGTGGGAGGTGGGAGGAAAGTGAGAGAGTCTTGAAAGTTGATACGATACCGATACCAAATACCAAAGAAGTCTTGAACAGACAAAGACAAAGACACAATCCAATCCAAACCACCACATCCGCCTTAGAATCCACTCCGCAATACCCTGCAATCGATCCACTCCCCGTCTGGCGTATCCGCAACGAAGGAAGGGTAGAGAGTTATTCTGGCTCCTACTGTATCCTGTATCGCCCCCATCGTCCATCGTCCATCGACCAGTGATAGTAATGTCATCGTCGGCGAAGCCCTTGACGCAGCGCTACCCAGGCCACCTATCGTAGGCGCCGCATGTATTTCACGTTTATTCGTCTTTGTCTGTCGCATCGTCAATGAAGATTTAGTTTCAGTGCACCAGCGACTCACATAGCCCACGAAGCCGCTCAACTCAAACCCCAGCAGCCGCATCCAACCTCTCCCCGCGCGCCAAAACGCGAATCACGCGTTGCGGCCCTCCAGCGCCGCTGCTCTCCATCGCTAGCGCCGCCGCGGGACGTTCTACAAGGGATCCACCTCCACCCCCGCCTCCCACCTTGCTGTACATGCCGTTGCCGCTGTTGTTGCTGTTGCCGTTGTTGTTGCTACCGCTATTCGCGCCACCATACCCAGCCGGCCCGCCGCGCTTCCCCTGCCCCTGCTGCGGGTTCGTATTCGCGCGCGGACGTCTATTGGTACCTTCGCCCGTCCCAGGACGTCGTGCGCCTTCGCCCGTCCCACCCTGAGTGGAAGTGGTGTTACTACCAGCCGCAGAGGCGCCGGCCTGAGCGGGGTTGACATGCAAAGACGGCGCGACAGGAAGCACGGTGAGCCCCGCGCGCGCAGCCCAGTGCGCGACGAGCGTGCCGGAGGCGCGGGCTTCGTGTTTGTTGGGGATGTCCGCTGCTGAGTCTGGATTTGTTGGAGGGGGAGGGGTGGGGGTGTTGGCGAGGACTGCGATGCATACTGTGCGTGGGTCGTTGGAACCAGCCTTGGAATAAGATGCAGCGTCGTCGAGCTCCCAGCGGGCACAGCACACGGTGCGGCGAACCCATTCGGGGTCGTCCGCAGGGAGGTCTGCAGCGGGGCTCGAATCCCCTGTGGTGCTTTGAGCGAAGGCGATGGCGTCCCAAGGCACGAACGCGTCGTCCCTCTGCACCCGGATGCGCAGATTCGTCCCGACCTGGGCTTCGAGGATGCGGGACGCAGCACGCGCTCGTTGCGCAAGGGGAGAGGTGCCTTTTTTGAGGAGGTCGAGGGTGTTGAGGGCTAGATATGATGCATCAGTTACGAAGCGAAAATGTTAGAGAGTTGGCAGTAAAACCGGCGGCTAGATCTCCTCGAGACCGCATGACCGTCCAAGGAAATATTAGCCACCATTTGTACATCCCACCGATGGAATGAAATGGTGGCTACTCTGGGCCAGAGGCTCAACGAACCATCGCGGCACGAGGAGCCACAAGTGCTCACCGCAAACTCTCTAACAGATTGGGTATTGAAGACATACCTTCAAGTGGCACAATCACAACCTCTTCGCGACCGTCCCGACACCACCGTTTGACCTGATGCAACGCGTGAACAAGCACACTTGCGTCGACGATGACGACGTCGGCGTCCTTCTCGGCATTGGGTTCCTCCACAGAGCGCCTTTGCGTCGATGACGCGGAATCTTTCGAGATAACAAACGTATTCCCGCCACCATTCTTCTTCCCGCGTAAAGACGATTTGTTGTTATTGGTAGAGGCCGAGTACGGTTGACGTTTTGGAGAAGACTGTGGGCTAGCGGGAGGGCCTCTGCTTCGCCAGTTTCCGGAAGCAGCGGACTTCTCAAGCTGCTCGACTTGGTGATTCAGGAATGCGGCTCCTAGAGCGCGAGACATGGCCTTTGCAGCAGGTGAGTCCGATTTGACGTATAATGTACAAGAAACGAACCTTCTTGTCTGTCATGGTGATAGCCAGCGTCCGTTATGTAGTGTTGTGGGCCGACTGAGATATCCGGACCTAGATGGGTTGGATGAAGCCTGGAGAGTTTCCTAGTTGTCGATGAGACTAGCGGGAAACGAGATATCCAAGAATTGATGTTCAAAGTCAAGAATTTGAGCGAGGAGTCGGCAGACGCACAAATGCAGGTCGTGAGCTGCGCATTTCCATTTTGGGCTTGATATGTGTTGGTGGTTGTTGACATCTCCCGGTGCAGATGAGTCGATGCCCGCACTGCTTCCCGCTCCCGTTCTCATCCCGAACCGCCTCATTATGACCTGCACTGCGTCAAGAATGGACTTGAGTGGAAATAGTACGCCGGTCGAAAGTGCTATCCACGATGCCGACGCAAACACCCGCCGCCAACTCGCTCTCCACGACCTTCTGCCCACCGTCCTTCCCTCAAGCAGTGGCTCTCTTCCACTCGAGTCTCCTCAACAGCCCGCCCTTCGAACCCACCTTGGTTCTCCGCCTCCTCCTCTCTCCTCCCTTCCACCAGACACAAGGCAACTACATACCGACTACTTCTCCTGCAACCGAACGCCACAGACTACGACGCCGACACCCGCCGCTACCTCGCACACTTCCCCTCCGTCTACCTACGCTACGACAACTCTCGTCAAAAATTAGCAAGTACCGCGCGCCCAAAACTCGCCGCGTCCCACATACCGCGGTAACCCACCTCGCCACCCCACTCATTGCCTCCGCCTCCACCTCTCGCGCTCGCCTTCGACCGCCACCGCCGAGACACGACCTCAGCGTACTCAGCAACGTCAAGGTGCGTTGCCGTTACCTTATCTCCTATTCTCTCTAATTCATTTTCAGTTCAGCACGAATCCCCCGCGTACGCCGTCGACCCATCTACTTTTGACCTCCGAATCCCTGGCGCCAAGGAACGCCGCCGCCCGACTACGTCAGCTACGACGGAACCGTGGCCCTCCACGACCGGCAAGGGTGCGCCGCCACCGCCTTTCTTTCTTGTTGTTTACTCACTTGACAGTCTCCACTTCACTCGCACGACGCCGGCGCCACCTCACCACTTGCCCCACCTCTCAAAAGGCGCCAACCACGAAGCCGACGCCCCCGCCACCACTTCCCCTTCGACGCCTCCGCTACGTCACGCCTCTATGTCAAGAAACCCTTAAGCACCCCTGCGCCCTCCGCCCTTCCCCAGCCCAACTAACGCCCATCCTGTCACCCTCACTCATCGCCTTCACCTCCGACTCGCTCCCGCGTCGCCTTCAACGCCGCGCGAGGAATACGGAGGATCTAGCCTCGCGAGAAATTAATTAAGGCGCGTCACCACTCCAAACCCTCTCCATCCCGCCACTAGCCACCTCCTCGCCACCTTCTCCCTCTCCCACACCCGCCTTCTCCCTCGCCTTCCCAGCCCCGTTCGCCGCCGCGCACGCCCCGTCGACTTGCCGTACCTCAAAGCAAAATCCACACGCCACAAAATCCACGCCCTGCCGCGCCAAGCGCTCGCAAAGCCCGGAATCAGGTCCACCAACGCTGCCTCGTCCCACTCCCACCCCCGCGCTCGCCTCCACCGTTCCCCACCCGACACAAGATCGTCCCCCCAGCGCCGCGCTCCTCCTCTGCAAGACCACGACTGAGCCTAATTTCATTCGGCCGACGGAATAAACGGACGCGCAGGAGGGAGGCGGCGTACTGTACCGTATTGCTATGTAGAATAGCTTATTTCAAAGTCAATAAATCAATCTATCTACAGTCTATTGTGTGAACGGGTTAGCGGATTGAAAGATTGGCTTGGGATGAATGGAAACTTACCGCAATTTGAGTCCTCTCCAATTCAATGCGACGTCCAGTTGGTGTCTGGCGTCTTCAAGAGCCCTGAACCGAAATCAGACAGCGGTCGAGTTATGTAAATCACTGTGTCAAAAACTTCACTAAAACTTCGCCTACACTACTTACTGAGTCTGATTGTAGCTGCGAACCGCCGCCGCCGAACCAGCCAATTTTCTGCACAAACATACCATATGGCTTCCAGTGAAATTAATTTTGACTGGAACAGTGCCCCCGCACGAGAGCTTGCTAGAACTTCAACAAGACGAACCGTTGGCGGGTCCGGCGTGGTGTAATGGTTCAACATCGCTGTCTTTCATTCGGAGAACAGAGAATATAACGGCGATGATCACAGCAGCTCGGGGTTCGATTCCCCGCGCCGGAATACGTTTTGGAGGCGAACCATCGCCCCCACCTTATCCCCAGTAGCACCGATTTTTTTTTTTTGCTTGAAGCACGTACCATGGTAGCCGGAGTCCGGCAACGAGCTGGGAGCAGGAATAAGTCCCCCTCAACCAGTGTCGCCGTGTCCCACTCCAAATGACGGTTCTAGGCTTCGGATTTTCGGACCATTCTATTTCCCTTCCATACGACCTGGCCGCTTGGGGGAGAGATTTACGAGTGTATATACGCATTCCAAAATGAGGGTATAGCTATGTACGATGGATACAGCAATTTGAATATTATCGATAAATACAGTAAACTACAAGTCCTCAGCCATAGCCAAAAATGGCTCCAAACATCTCCTTCCATCCGCGCTTGATAACGACCGTCGCACCCCCACTATATTCAGACGCAAACCACTCTAGGTACCGAGCGTCCATGCCGCTCATGGGCCCGAGCTCAAAGGCCGACATGTCCTTCGAAGTGAGCGTGAGTGTGTTCTTGTCCTTGGACAGGAACGTTTCCAAAGTCGACAGCTGGAAGGATGTATGTGCGTGGAGCGTCTGCAGCAGTGACAGCGTCGTCAGGATCTGGCCATCCCGTCGTGAAGTGTCGTACACCCCCTGCTCGTCGCCGTCATCGTCATCAGCCGCACTCAGCTTCGCAGCTTTCCCCTTAAACTTGGTGCTGCTCGACGTCGGCGACGTCACAGTCGCCTTCCCGCTCGACCAAGACATCGCACTCGCCCGCCTCGTCGACTTCGTCGTCGTCGGTGGCCGCGTAATCCCACTACCGCTGCCGCTCGCACCCACCTGCGGCCCGCCCTCGATACCCATTCCCACCGTGCGCACATAACCATCCGAGCTGTCTGCCGCCGCGGCGAGCGCACGGAGACTCAGGTCCTCGTCACCCTCGAGACGAATGCTGCCCCAATTCGACTCCCCGTCGGCGGTGGAATACGACATGATCGAGTTGCCTCGCCAGGAGCCCATCCACAGTCCTGCGCAGATGACGCAGACGTCTTCGTACACACGCCAAGCGTCTGTCCAGGCTGTGATGGGATTGGTCTTGGAGGGTTTGGAATCGGGGGAGAGGGAGCCAGGGGAGCAGCATGAGTGGTCGTGGGCAGAGGAATCCAACTGCAAAATGCGATTGATTTCGTTCCACTGCGAAGCATTAGAACAAATGAGAAGACGGACAGAACGACGTACTAGCTTAATGTCGCTCCACGAGAAACGCACGACAGACAGACGGTGTGTGGGTCCTCGAGATGGTCCCGGCGACAAAGGCTGAATGGGGCGGGATGCATAAAATGTTGGCCGGGTGGCTTTGTTCGGCGTCGAGGTCGTGAGGTCGATTAGTAGGTCGTAATATGATGGTTTCTCAAGGAAAAGAGCGTCGGTGGTGCCTGATGCAAGGTCAAGCAAGCGCAGGATACAGTCTGGAACAACATACAGGCTACCCAGCCACGTCCACTGTCGCTTTCCCTCTGTAGCCGGTCCAAGTCGTTCAGAGTCACCATTCCGAGAACGTTGATCCCCTCCTTGCATTTGCCGCGCAAGCGTGGGGAGGACGAATTTGAAGAAGTGGTGTATTCCACCTGATGCTCGTATGCCATATCCGCCGCCACCTGGCAGAGGATACAGGCAGCTTCCACCGGCGGTAGAGTGTAGATTAAAATTCGTCGTCTAGCGACAACGTGTTTATACAGAGTCAGGGAGGACGGGCCGAGGATGCGTAGTAGATGTGGCAGGTGTACCGTCGGATTCTGGTCGGGTGCACCGTCATCGAGCTGCTGCGGGGTAAGTCGACGTCGCAGTGACAAGAACAGCCACGTACCTGCGCCAAAAGCTCATGACTCCATCCGTTCCAGTCCCCCGCCCCTCCGAGATCAGCCCGGGTGACCTTCCGCTCGTTGAAGAAGGTGCGCGCTGGCTCCCAGTCGGTGTCCAAAGGTATCAAGGACGCGGAGCTCTCAAACCGAGAATAGATTAGCGTAGTGAGCTCCTTCAGTGCCGCAGTGTGTCTCCAGGGCCGAGGACGAGCTGATTTAGCCAAGAGGATGCCGAGGGAGGACAAGCGGAAGCCGCGATGACCTTGGTCGACAGTCTTGCGGCGCCGAAATACACACACACCATGCTGACCGTCCTTCGTGAAGTACCTATAGCAATATCAGCGGCTGGGCGAAGTATTTTGCAGTGGAAACAGGCCAAGGAAGCAGCCCAATCTAAACCAGTCAAGAAGCAAGTCACAAACGCACACTACATCTTCCTCTACGAGATGGAGTCCACTGGGAAGAGCACTAAACTCTAAATGGTCAAGATTCAAGTCTATATGTCCGGTGTTAACCTTCGTCCGAGTTCGACTTGATTCTGCTCACCTTCGTTGGCCTTTAGCGACCAGTCAATTATGTTTCCTTGAGTAGGGTGAAAAGATGCGTGAAAGATGGCAACTATAAGTCTCCAGTCAGAACATTCGGTATTCTAACCGATTTATGCTGACCTATATCCTGGGGAAATCGTCCCTTGGAATCTAAGGAAGACATACAAAAACGAAGGTCGTGGAGCGGAGGAGAGCCTGAATAACCCCGTCACGATGTAACGTGTCACCATCTCCTCCTGAATTTCACCGTTAATTCTTGCTTAATTCACCTTTCTTTTCTTTCGACCGGTGGCGACCGGTGGAGAAGCTACAAACTCGGTAAGGAGAAAGCGGCCGCTGCGGTAACCGCTGCTGAGGGCAGGTAAATTCACATAGTAAGTATTCAAGAATCAACGAGTAGGAAGATTCAGACTGTTTAATTTGTAACCCGTCTACTCCCATTCGGAGTCGAATTTCGGACAAATGCCTTCAAAAAACTCCTGGCAACCTGTAATGGCAGGATCTCGTCGTCGGACACTTCCATGTCTCCCCCACATCTTCTTCTCGCTCTATAGCCCCCCTCCCTCGTCCAACGGGGTGATAACCTCCTCACTGGCAAGACTTGCTTCGATTCGGGGTTGCAGCGCCTACTATCATGTTAAGACAAGTGAGGCAAGTACCATCCAGACATAACAGTATTGCTGGAGCTGCGTCCATGAAGTTCAGGGCGAGTAACTACCAGGTGATCGCCGTTCTCCTCAAAGAAATCGAGCCTTTTGTCCGAGCGTTTCCATGAAAATCCGAAAGACGCCTCGCTATTCATCTGGTCGGCGTCAGGAGTCGGCCGTAGGAAGCCTTTATTCTCTCCACGATTGTGTATAAGGATTCGACCAAGGCCAATGTCCGGCATTAACAAAGAACAAGAAACGCCTGATCTACTCAATTGTATCCACGCAGCAACACCGTGTCTTTTGTTTTCGTGAACTCGACTTCGAAGAATTTTGTTCCGAATATGGTTTGTTGTACACATCGACTAGTTCTGACAACAAAAGCTCTATTGTACTGTTCATACGGTATGCGTCGACTCGGACTTGTCCTGAATTTGTTGATCCACAGGTCGTGAAGATGGCTGTCGCAGCAGATGCCTTCAAACCGTTAACGACCCCACCAACAATAACAGCGAACGACTCAGTATCCAACAAGACGGACAGATATTGAATTCGGTTTCAAAGATGGAACAGAATTGAGTAGGTAATTAACCAGATCGTGTTTAGCCCGTCGTCGTCTTCTTTTTTCTCGAAGTAAGCGACGGCACAGGGGATTTGGGCGGGTCCTCCAGGCGAGCTGACTTCGGTGGAGGTTTGGATATGGGTGATTCTACGGCGGGCCGCTTCCGCTTTCCAAGTTTGGAAGCTGTAACATTCTTGACGATCTGCTCGAACAGTTCGGAGGGTGGTATCTCGGCGGTGAGCTGTTTAAACAAGTCGTTGCTAAGACTCGCGATAGGAGAAGATTCTGGAGGCGATGCTAGGGTATCGACTTGCGCTCGACCGGGGAAAGAGGCAGCCACACGAAGGACGCAGAAGGGACCTTCAGCTTTAGAAGTGTCGAGTAATTTGGTGACGGTGGTAGCATGGTGCGCCGAAGGCTCTTCCTGCAAGAGATGTTAGTTAATGAAGCTAGGGTCGCACTTGAGGCATACCTCGTCGCGTAAGAGCTGGTCATCTTCAAGTCGCTGCATGACTTCTTCGAGGGCGGTACCGCCCAAATCCTCGTCTGCGACAACCGAATGAAGGATGACGCGAATGAATCTGCCGTCTGCTAATTTCAAGTTAAAGAGTAGATCCGGATCCGAGGTATGTGTAAGGCAGAATGGTGCTCGTCCCCCGTCCAATCCATCTAACCATGATTCCACTTCACGAAGCGTAGAAGCACGCGTCAAGAGCGAGCTAGATCCGTCATAAAGCGCCATAGTGGACGCCACCAAATTTCCTGTCTGATTTGCCCATTCAGGGACCTGTTTTTCGTGAAATGAAAATATTTCCGAGAGCAGGGAACCGCTTTCAAAGGCGCGGGACAGATAAAATGCGAAGAAAGTGATCAGAGATTGTGAAGTGATGTTGGGTCGGTGGTGCGTGAGGACAGCGAGGCTGTCTTCCAGCCATGGGTCTTGGGTCGAATCGTAATACGAGTCGTAGTCGGAGGGAGGACGGAAGAATGCCTGAGCGATCGCAATGACGAACATCGGCTCGCTGAACGTAATCTGGCTCATATTGCCATCGGTGAAACACCCGATTCCCTCGCTCACCAAGGGCGTCAAGTCGACGGGAAATACCGACGGATCCTGAGCGGTCGTGACATAGTGAAAAAGCACTTTCTGAATCGACGATTTGAGGAGCGGCGCTTGATGTGTTTTAGCTATTGACCCGGCTGCAGTTGTGGGCTTACCGTCAATGAAAGTAATGTCCGGCAACCTTCCAGTCCGAATGGCATCCATGTTTGGATAGCGAAACGGCTCATCAGCATCGCTATAATCGGTGGGGCGGTACATGGTTGCGATCTCAATGTAATCATCTAGTAGACGGTGTGGCGTTGAAAAGCCATCGCGAACCAAGGCTTTCAAAATCGCATCCGTCGTGC